CGAAGAATGACAGATTTTTAGAACTTGCTGTATGATTTTCTTTTCGCCATTTCATCGAACCTCGAACATTAGGATTGAACGACGAAATTTTAGGAATTTTCTTGAATCCTTGTCACATAATCCAAATGTCTAATGCCCGGTAAAATGGTGAGAGAAAATCGCACAGAAGGTTTCAATAATTTTTTGTAATTCTCATTCTCTTTTCTCTTTCGACGTAAAATTGTCTTGAAAAGAAAAAAAAACAAACTCACGACTATAAGAGTAGAGACTTCGCGCTTTAAACTGAGATCAAATTGATTGTTGTATGGATTCCAGTTCGAATTACTGGTTCAGCCGTGCACTTTATCGCAAATAAAATGAAATTTTGTCAAGCTAGAACTTTGCGACGATCATTTAAAGATAGTGGTGAAAAAATATTAGAAACACCCATTTATTAATAACTCCGGAATAAAGACTTTCAATTGTTGGATACTGTACTTCAAACATAACAAAGAATTCCAGAATGTCTAAGCTGAACCTCGTTAAGTCTAATAATGCATCGAATAAAATGAGACTCGATGAATTGATTAATTTCCAGAATGATCGAGGTAGGTGCGACAGAAGGTGCTTGGGTGTTCCTCGCGAATTGCCACTTGTCGCTCAGTTGGATGCCGAAATTGGACAAGATCGTGGAAACGTTGGCGGCCAGTAAAACCGTACACCCGCAATTCAGGTTCGCGTTTGATCGTAAGCGTCACGTGAGTCGATAATGAAAGGGCCACCGACCGATTACAGATTGTGGCTTAGCTCGAGCCCGACTGCCCAGTTTCCCATATCGATCCTGCAGGCGGGTATAAAGATGACCACCGAACCGCCGAAAGGTTTGAAGGCAAACATGAAACGGCTTTACAGCTTGATAACCGAGACCCAGTTCGAACTGTGCCAAGCAAAGTCCAAATACAAGAAGCTGCTGTTCGCCCTCGTGTTCTTCCACGCGATTCTCCTCGAGCGTAAAAAGTTCCAGCAATTGGGCTGGAACGTCATCTACAGCTTCAACGACTCGGACTTTGTGGTAATTTCGTTACACGACCGATCCGCGATTGCACCATCGACAAGATTGAAATTCCCCCCCCCCC